CACACACTTTCTTTTTATAATAAAAGGATAGGATCAAAGAAAAAGAAGTCTATATCTTTGTTTTGTTTGCTTTTTTTTTACTTCTTTGTTTTCCAATTAATTGCACATCTCTGTTTGTATTAATAAAGTACAAAAGTAAATGATATACATACATACATATATATATATATATATATATATATATATATATATCAATAAATAAAAAGAATATAATGAATGAAAAGAAAAGAGAACAAAAAAACATATTGTTGAATGAAAAGAGTGAAGAAAGATTGACAACTAATACTGCCTCTTGACTAGGTAAACTTAATTCTTCTAAATTCTTCGCAGATTTAATTAATGATATGATAATCATCGTAATAACATGTATTATCTCTCTTAGATTCTGAGATGAGATAATTTATTATAATATGGCACGAAGAATAATAATAATGAGGCTTAACTAATAATAGCATAAATAAGCACGAATATATGGCGTGATTAAAGTGTGAACAATATTTCCTAACTATTGTAAAAAAAAAAAAAAGAAAAAAAAAAATAATGAGTAGGACAGAACGGATGAAAAAAAAGAAAGAAAAAAAGAAAGAAAAAAAGAAAAAAAAAAGAAAAAAAAATCGATTGATCCAATTAGATTTCTCGATTCTTCATTGCTCCTAAACATCTTCGTTCTTGTCTTTTTCTTGTTGTTTTCTTCTTCTTCTTCTTCTTTTTCTTCTTCTTCCTCTTCTAATTCTTCTTAATAGCGAAGCCATTCTTTAGAATCCAAGCGGAAGAAAATAACAGACTTGTGTTCTTTTTTCATTTGCTTTTTTTTTCTTCTTCTTCCAATTGATTAGCTCGTTCACTTTCGTTCGTTTCCAAGATGATTGCCAGTTAAAAAAAGAAACGTTAAAAAGGAAGTTATACTTCTTTTTTTGATCTTCTTCCCAGAGCATGATAGAAAGTTACTTTGCTTTGGCCTCCATTCAAAAAACTCTTCTTGCGAGCAAAGTTGATAAGAAAAAAAAAGAGATATAGAGAAAGTGGAGAGAGAAAGAGAGAGAGAGAGAGAAAGAGAGAGAGAGAGAGTGAGAGGAATGATAATATTGATTGTAAACGTTCAAAACGATCATCTCTCATCTCGATTAATTTCCGTTCACTTTCTACCCCATAGTAGAATCCCTCTGTGAGAATGATTAGACTCATTCCAAGATCGATCGCTACTTTTACTCGTACTACTTCCAGAACTCGATACACTTTCTGATCTTCTGATTGGCTTCCTCGTTGGATCCAAAAGACGATCCAACATTTGTCTGATCGTACTGTGTTTACGATTGAACGGATTGGTATACATCTTCTTTGAGATTTTTCTCCTTTGTTCTTGTTTGTCTTTTCCTTTTCTTTTTTCTTTCTTTCTTTCTTTTTTTTTGTCTTTTTCTTTTTTTATTTTTTTTTTATTTCTTTTCAGTATAAGAGATAATGCGTAGCAATGAAAAACTTGGAAAAAATTTTCTTTTCCTCTTCGAGAAAATCGCCAGAATTATCTTATCACTTATCACTATCCGACAGAGATATATATAAAAAAAAAAAAAAAGGAATTCGGTATTTCAAATATCGAACACTAAAACGACATTTGTAATAACTTTAGAGAATTAATTTTTCGTTAATAGTAATGTCTTTAGAGATCAGTATTTGTACACAGAATCGACTAACCGTACGTCGCTCTTCCTTTCTTGCGAATAACTGCTGGGACGTGGTTGCGTCGGTTTTATAGAGGAATCTAGCTCGATGACCTTCGGACGACTTCGTCGAACGTCGGAGTCGCCTTCGGAGCTGCTAACCATCTAAAATATACCTGCAGGTGCATCCCATCGTGATCTTCTTTCCACGACTGTTCGATGCTCTCTGATCTTCTTCTTCTTCTTCTTCTTCTTCATTTTTTATCTTTCTTTTCATTTTATCCATTATTAATCTTTCAGGCGAATAAAGTAAAAAAAAAAGAAAAAGAAAAAAGAAAAAAACGAAGAAAGTAAAAATCTAAAATGAGAAGAAAAAATGAAAATACAAGATCGAAATTCACTTATCACAAATATTTCGATTCTCTTTGACCAATGAACTTTTAACAAAAATGTTATCTTACCGTCACGATTTTGATTGTGTCATTCAATTTGCATTCGGATAACTTCATTGTTATAAGAATGATGAAATAAAAGTTAAAATTCACTTTTGCACTGTTGGACTTTTTATACGGTTGGTTTTTTTTCTTTTTTTTTTTTTTCTTTATAACGAAAGCATATCAACAGTGATCAAATAAAACGCGTGTTAATCGATAATGAGATAATTAAAATAATTATGAAAAATTACGAAAAAAATAACAGGAAAGATTTTAAAATTAGGTAGTCATATATATATATATATATATATATATATATATATATATTTTAGAAAAAATTCAGAAAATTTCCATGAATATTTTTCTCTTCTTTATAGTGAGTTCGAGTAATTATTCAAAAGCATATAAATAAATTTAGAAACAACGATGGTATTGTATGAAGTGTAAATACGAAGAGGAAAATACCGTCTATCTTTTAGAGACTTCGTAAACAGACTTCGTAAAGGTTTATGAAATTCAATCTCTGACGAAGTCCAAACCTCGATGGCGCAGGTGTTAAGGTTAACGGTTTTCTCTCTCTCTTTCTCTCTCTCTCTCTCTCTCTCTCTTTCTCTCTCTCTTTTTCTTTCTTTTACGGGGAAAACCACAAGTGAGTCTGGAGCACATTCTCTTTCCAAGATCGAATGAAAACCACGACCTTGTCGAGATCTCCCGCCGTTTTTTCTTTATATTTTTTTATTTCCTTGCAAATACATGGATATATATATATATATATACATATATATATACATATATATACATACATTGACGAGTTATTTCATCGTCATTTCATTTAACTGATCATCAGAACCATCGAGAATACAAGATAGATTTTACGTCACTTAACACATCATTTAATTCACTCCCTTTTTCCTTTATTTTTTTTTTTCTTTTTTTCTTTCTTTTTTTTCCTTTATTTCGTAATTATACCTCATCGCGTTTATAAATTTGTTTATTCGAACATTTCTATCACTTCCGCAAATGGTAAGTTACCTTCGTTCATTTCAATTTTTAATACTTATCAATTCCTAGAACTGATACGTTCTATCGTTGAAAATAAAAGTTCTTCTGGAGTTTTTAATTGTTTTTCATGTTTACTAATTCGCGAATATATTTAAATTTACGCAATCAAACGCGATCCGAAATATCCTTACTCGTAGAATCGAGCCAATTAAATAATTTAAGTGAAATTCTCATTAATTAATGACACATTTTAAATGATAACTACGTCATTGGTCGATTCTAACGAGCTTTTGCTCTTAAACGATATAATTACTGGATCCCCATCCATCTCTCCCTTCCTTTATTCCTTTCTTTCTTCCTTCCTTCTTCCATTAGATAATCCCTCTTTCGACGGATGTATTAGAATCTATCGTGACAGCACAAGGACGACATTGTAATAATTGTAACAATTACATAGAAATTACTATAGTTTCGGCATTTTTTTTTTTACAAAATGGACCAAAAAGTATGCATGTGATTTTCAAAATAAATTATTTTTCTTCGAGACCCTTTTACGCTTACGGTTTTATGCTTGTGGCTTTTATTACTTTTTATAAGAAAAAGCAAAAAAAAAAAAAAAGAAAGAAAAAAGCGATAAAAAAAGAATTTCGCTCAAAGAGTCTCGCAAAAAGAATAAGTAAGACTTTTAAAATTGATCTTGAGAAACTTTTGGATCCATCTGAGAATTTGTTGATGACCATCCTTGTTACTTTGAGGGAAAAAAAAAATAAAAAAATACGATGAATTTTCATTTGCCATAGTAAATAGGAATTCGAGAAAAATAATATTATCGACGAGATCGATTGAAGAATAAATAAATCAAGTACATATATAATTATATAAGTTATTGCATATATGTAACAATATATGACGTAGATATCGATTTTTAGCAAAACTTCAGATATTATTTTTTCCCAAGTCATATTTTTCCTCGTCGATATATATAAATTGAAAACAAAGTTACGTTGGGGATAAACCTTTAAATCTTATACATATTAAAATTTTCAATTTTTTCATAATAGTTTTTTTTTTATCCTTTATCGTATAATTTCATAATTGATTTCTGAAAAAAAAAAAAAGAGAGAGAGAAAGGAAAACTAAATTATAATTGCGATACTCTAGCATAGTTGCCTTATATAAAGTATTATCGGATGTTGTGCAATTATTATTATATACAGTGACGATTAAGGTTGGCTAAATGCATTCCATTGAATCAACAAAAAAAGAAAAAAGATATCAAGTATCTCTATATATTTCACTATCACATGAACTTTAAGCCTTTGCAATCTTTCATTATGTTAGATTGACCATCAATTTTTCTTTAAATATATTAAAACGATTGTAGATTAAACTAGACATATAGAATTTACGAAAATATATTAATTTTTTTGTTTTTATATTATAATTTATATATATATATATATTTTTTTTTTTTAGATTAAAATAATCTGGATCAATCCAGAGATTTCAAACAACCAAAAATATTTCTAATGTTATCATATTAATTTATAATAACATTATGACAATTAAAATAAATCATTTCTAATTGTCACATGATATATTATAAATTATTAAAGTTATAATAATTTATAACATATTTATATATTATTAATAATAATTGAACTTTCATAATTAATTATTACATATCTACATTATATACATATTATGTAACATATCATACATACGTATATACATATATATATATATATATATATATATATATATATATAAATAATTATTAAAATTTTTTTTCCCATTTAAAGTTCTACAATGTCCTGCATTTCTGACCCAGTTTTTATTTATCAAGATGATGATTAAATGTAATTAAATTAAAGCATTATAGATTGTTATAAATGATTACGCAGAATCTCTTGTCCGTATAAAGCAGAGGAAAGTCTCGTTTACGAAGGTCATGGTCCAAGAACGCGTTGCACACGTTTATTTTATTTACGATTGCTTCATCCATTTGTCCGAGTGAATGAAGTCCAAACGTTTCTATGTAAGTATATACGTATGTATATATGCATATGTACAATATGAATGGTAATCTTCTCGAATTCGCAAATAATCATAATTAATCATTTATTTGATTTGCACACGCTCCTAGAAGACAAACTAACTCTAATAGACTGGATAAAATTAGAAAAGCATTATCTTTTTTCTTTTCTTTTTTCTTTTTTTTTTTTCCTATTACTTATTTCGATTTTTTCGTATTCCTTAAGAAATATGAGCATTCATAAATTAAAAAAAAAGAAGAAAAAAGAGAGAGAGAGAGAGAGAGAGAGACAGAGAGAGAGAGAGAGAGAGAGAGAGAGAGAGAGAGAGAGAGAGAGAGAGAGAGAGAGACAGAGAGAGAGAGAGAGAGAGAGAGAGACAGAGAGAACAAAAAGAAAGGAAAAAGGAAAGAAAAAATAAAAGATAAATTTTTAAAAGGTAATAAAATTCGTTCGAATAACTTTCTTCCTGAAAGCAGCTTTCTTTTACTTCTCATCATGAATACTGTTTTCTATAGAACGAAAGTAGGCGAATTTTTAGTTATAATTTTATAACGTTCTTATTCTATAAAGATCTAATTTATCAAATTAAGAGATATAGATTACAAACGATTTTTGTTTGTTTTCTTCTTTTTTTTTTTTCCTCTCTTTTTTTTTCTAAGAAAGATGAAAGGAAAATTGAAAATTTTTTCCATAGCAAATCTTTTTCCTTTTTCTTTTATTATTATTATTATTACTTCTCGTAGTTTTTAATTATAATTTGATTAAAAAATATGAAACATATGATAATTTTGTTAACTTATAGGAGAGATAATAGTATTAATATCTTCGAATTTTTTTTTCCTAACATTTTGAAGATTTTATTATAGAAAAATTTTATAATACGTTTAAATAATCCTCTCTCTCTCTCTCTCTCTCTCTCTCTCTCTCTTTCTCTATCTATCTATCTATCTATCTATCTATCTATCTATCTATCTATCTATTTATCTATTTCTACGTTCCTTCGTAATGTTCTTGGGTAAAAAAATGTCTCGCGAATCGGTCCGATGTCAATCGACGCATTATATTCCTATTGACCCTCGTAATCGCGTTTATTGGTTTAATAGGTTCCGCAGATGGAAAGGATAGTGCTTGTTCTCGCGCTTCTTGAATGTGAACAATAGAAAAGATGATGATCGATTAGACGTCGTACCGTCATTGTCTGTATGATGCTAAAAATAATAACCAGAGAAATAAAATATAACATTTATTTAATCTTTTAGTCGTAATTCGTTTAAATAATTCTTTACCACGATTTAAATGCATGGTAAATATTTTAAATACGTTTCAAGATAATGGAGCATCGATTTAAGATGTATCTACTGTGAGTTTCTTCTCTCCATTTTTCGTTTTTTTTTTCTTCTCTTTTTTAACGAAAAGTAAATAATTGTTTTACTTTAAGTGGAAAGGATGAATCAATAAAAGTAGGTAAAATCAATGCTGTGTAAATCTAACGAGAGAGAGAGAGAGAGAGAGAAAAAGAGACTAGAGACTCTACTCTCAGAAATGTCTAACTAACAGATAATCTATGTACACATACATATATATATATATATACATACATATGTATGTACCTAAGAAGAATGTGCATGTCATGAGAAAAAAATTTCAAAACAAAGTGGTATGAATAATCAAAATCAATAGATTTGAAAGAAGAAGAAAAAAGAAATGATTATAGAAGAACAATGATGGCAATCAAATCAAAATCTATATATTATATATAAAAGATATATAATTAAAATTGAAAAAATTATATCTCATTTTAATATAAAAAAGATGAACCAAAAGTTTCGTTGAAAGATTAAAAATATTTGTTTTTTTTTTCTTTTTTTTTAATTGCCTAAGAATATTTTCTTATTCCGTACTCTTAAAATAATATGTTTTTCTTTTTTCTTTTTTATCTTGGCGATTGTTATCTTTATTATTTCATATATATCTATATAACGATAACAATTCCATATATATACTTAGATCCTTTTTTTTTTTTACATGGATCGATAACACTTTAATCGGTTGACGTGCAATTTTCTTAGAAAGAATCCGAGGTTGCGAGCTCACGGATAAACAAAACCAGTCATACGAAAAAGGTAGACCCCCTTCAAACCGGTCTTTTCTTTAACCTAAACGAAAAAGTCAAGAGAGAAAGAGAGAGAGAGAGAGAGAGAGAACGACAGAGAGAGAAAGGAGAGGGAGAGAGAAAGAGAAAAAGAAACTTTAGTGACGCACGCCATTCGATACAGCTATTCACTCGAACGCATTCTGACGTCGAAGACGCGTTTTAAAATATGCGCGCACACTTCTTACGATTATTATTTATGACTCTATAAGAAAAATCTTATGTCGAGTTTGGTGAAAATTAAATAAAAAGAATATCAAAAAGCCAAAAAAAAAAAAAAAGAAAACGTTTAGAATTTATCAATCGTATAAAACAGATTACGTCTTATTTCAATGACATGTCATATTTTCTCTTTATAGATAAAAGAGGACATACAACAGAGAATTTCGCTATTTATATTTCTGATAATTATATCTTATTCTTATTTCAGCGATATGATTTTTAGTTTGAAAAATGTTAAAGAACAAAAATACAGCTTGCGCCAAAAGTTTTCTTAGACCTCTTAATTTTGCTATTTAAAGAAGAAACGGAGAACACACACAAAAAAAAAGGAAAAAAAAAAAAAACAAAAACTAAAACAATAAATTAAACAATAAATTAAAGCAAAAAGAATAATTGATTTTTAAAATCACTTAAGAACTTTCGATCTATCGTCTATTAGATAATAATCTGTTACAAAATGTGTTGTAAGAGGAAAAAAGTGAGAAAACGTGACGCAAGAAAATTTGTCAAATCAATAAGAATTATTTCATTTGTCACAAAAATGGAAAAAAAAAAAAAAGAAAAGATTTGAGATATTTATATGAATGTTCGAAAAGACATGAAACTTTTTCGTTCATGGAACATTTCCATTAGAGCTTATTTTTGTAAAAAGGGAAATGTATCTTCGTAATTATACCATGTTTCTCCTTTCGAAGATTATATGATACACCATGAAATATTTCACTGCGTCGATCGTTCGAAGGCTTCCAGTTCAAGGACGAAATATATGTATGTACTTTCACCGAAAGTCTGAAGACGGCCTTCTAAGGGCTGTTAGGTCTTTGACCTGGCAGGAAGCAACAGCAGACGGCTTGACCGAAAGATCGTCAGTTCTAAGTGATCATAAAAATCACTGAAAATAATAAAAAGAATTAAATAATGAAATATGTAATATGTAAATGATATAGAAGGAAAGATTTTTTTTTAATATGATTAATTTTGATAGAACATAATTTCATCGTTTTTTACTTAGATACACGGCAAAAAGTTTTATTTCCAACGATTGGATCTTTAAAATCAATCGCTCTTTTACGAATATCTTTTTAAGCTGATTTATTTCCTTTTCTCTTTTTTCTTTTTCTTTTTTTCAAATCTTATAAAATTATAAGCCTAATTGCTTGCAAAGCCGTCTAAAAAATCTCGAAAAAAGAACAATTTGACTTTTAAAATGACCTAAAAACTTTTGACCGATTCTGTATATGTATTTATTTGACCTTGAATATATGTATGTACGTGAAAAACTCGTTTATGATTAATAAGATTTGTCAATGAATGAATACATTTGTATTAACTTTCTTTGTAATTTAGACGAACGTGTAAAATTGATTTCTAAGCCAATGGTATATATACGAATTTCGTTTTAAGATTCATCATTTACGGCCATTGATAATTATTCTAAACTTAAAACATAAAAGTGCTCATAGTCTGAAAACAAACTATAAAAACTGTTGTCAATAGAACTATTATAGTTATGTACATATATTTATATATTATCCATGATAACGTCATTGAAATATCATACGAAGAGAAATCATATTAACTGTAGGAAAATGATGTTACAAGTTTACTTATCAATAAATGCTTTACGGTCACGTAGAATGAACTTTCATTCTATTTTGCGCGCTTGCTTTCACCAGATATGCACTCCATTGTTTTTGTTATTATTATTATTATTATTATTATTCTTTCGATCGATTAAAGTAAACTTTCTTATATACTTATATACATATATATATATATATATGTATATGTTTTAATAAATTAATTTTCCAAATTAAAATCCAATTAATTTTCCAAAAAAAATTTTCAATGTCGATATATAATGATTTATACAATTAATTACGTCGATTGGAATACGACAAAATATTAATCCTGATTTTTTTTAAGTGTGTTAAAAGTTTCTCGAAGTATTATTAAAGAGAAAAGAAAAAAAAAAAGGAAGAAAAAAAGGAAAAGAAAGAAATAAAAAAATTTATTAATCGAGAAAGATCTTTGATTTGTTAAATGTTCGCATATATAATAACGAAATTATTATGTCATTCTAGGTAATTAAAAAGATACTATATGCTTACGAAGTGTCACTATATAGTAATATATTACTATATAATATATAGTAATAGATTATAATTTTAAATATATTTTGCTTTATTTCTTCCTTCCTCTTTATTTATTTATTTTTTTTTTCTACTTTTTTACTCTTTTGCATGTATTATATCGTAAATATTCTTCCGGCATTTAAAAAAAAGAAAAAAAAGGATCGACGTAGATTAATATAGACATTGATCGGAAGAAGAATTGTCCGATTGTACGTAGTTTACGCATTATTTTTTTTTTCATTCTTTTTTTTTTCTTTTTTTTTTTTTTTTGTTTAAATTATAAAATACATACCCTTAAACAAAAAGTTGACTCGTAAATCTTCATAGGGATAAGAAACTTTCTTATTTCCGTTTGTCTATCTACGGTTGTGATTTCATCTATACGTAGAGAAAGATATGCCCAAGGGCAAATTCCATAGTATGGAACTTCCTATTAACTGGTCTTGATTTGATTTCGATAGAACTGACGGAACAATCAAACGTATTATAAATTGAATATAATATAAAAAGAATATATATTTTTTAATTTAACGGATTATATGTATGTATAAGTAGAACGTACAAAAGTAATCCCGTTTAATACTCAATGCAATTGTTTGTAAATTCCTCGTATCATTGTGAATCTTCTTCTACCAACGACGATTGTACTCTCATCGATGGGTTTCTTTTTTCTTTTCTTCTTCTTCTTTCTTTCTTTCTTTCTTTTCCTTGAAAATAAATGATAAAAGTTATAATGTGTTAAGTATATAAATAATTGATGAGAATTCATGAGATATACTATGTTATATACCATATTATCAGACAGAATAAAACTGTATGCTACTGTAATATTACGTTAGATATTATGCGAATAAATTAATAATGAGTTCAATATGAACGAACAGTTTCGAACGATTCAAACGAGACAAAAAAACGATCATTACCTTAATGGCAACGGTTGATCATTATGAAATGCAGTATCGTACGGCGCAAAATATTTTTAAGGTAACAGTATTATTTTAATTACGATCAACAATGAAACAAAAAATGGTGGTTGAACATTTTTTTAAATATACGAGGAATAATGCAAAATAATAATTTCAAAATAAAATAATGATTAAAAACTTGACGAAAAAAGTGATGAAAGGAAGGGGTGGGGGAAATAAAAGACGATTATTGTATGACGTTATTGGTGGATGTAGCGACCAATAGAAATGTTCGTTCGGAATAAAGTCACATATGTCACGCCATCTACGTGGAATATTATAAGTATTTTTTGATCTCGCATTTGTGATTGAAATTCAGCGATTAACTTCTAATGTTTGAATTATTAATTATTTTGATAATAGATTATGTTTATATATATGATATAATTTTATTAAAATGAATAATCATTTGAATGTCATTAATCGTCAAGCGTATGTGTCGAGAAAATGGAAAAAAGATTTATCTAAGTTAACAAACTTTTTGAATATTCATTTTCCTTATGTACCTATTTTTATTGAAGATATTTCTACGTATATTGAATTAAATGATTATGAAACTAATCGCATCAAAACTATACAAACAATAGGCCGTATTATACGCAAAGATAACGTTGACATGATCATTGATCTTAAAAAGGAAATACTATTTCCTATCTGTTGGAACTCATTATCTAATTCTGAAGTTTTTTTCAAAACCCCACGCAATAATAAGAACAATATATGGGTAATTAATGATAAATATTTATAATTAATACAAATAATAATCCATGAAATTATTCTATATTCAAATAATTTGAATATTATGGACATTTCCATTTTATAAGATACATCATTCAGTTCAATTATTTATTTTATATCTCAGTTTTTATTTATGTTTAGGAATATAATGCAGTTAGAGTTTATGGGACTCTTATAAGAAAGGAATCTCAAATTGTTCTTGGTATTAGTGCTATATTTGAAATAACAGACATTAATAATTGTTTAAACATATTTAAAATATTGACCTTGTTTGCACGTACAGAATACCGGCAGTGAGTTAAATTTTAATATATTATTAAGTGTGAATTATGGAATTGAAGATAACATAATATAAGATAACATCTATATTTATATATGAACATTTATATATATATATATATATATATATATATATATATATATATATATGATTATGATATTGTATTTTAGAATCCCAACTAGTCAAGAAGTAAATAAATTGTTTAAAGAACAATGGAAAGAACAAAAAAGGTAAAATGAATTTATTGATGTAAATAATTATTAAAATTAATAATGGATATATAAGTATATGTATTAGTTAAATGATTTTTTTTATAGTAAATAATGTTTTGTTAAAAGGAATTGTAACATATTTTAAATCGGTAATGACGTTATACAATTTTATCGACAGTGTGTCATACTATTCAATCTTCTTGGCTTAAGAATTCAATGCTTTTTTACTACGAATGTTTATGTTTATTCATTGATTTGACGAGAGCGTAGTAGTTTACATGTGATTTTTTAAAAATTATTAATAATCTTGATTTATAGTAATGTTCAATATATTTGTAAATTATTGTTCCTTTCGAAAAAGTCAACTAACCTCATTAATAAAAGTAACAAGTACAAATTTACAAATTCGTTATAAATCCACAAATGTAAAAATGGTTTTAAATAGTGGTGAAGCATTAGTATATCATCTAAATGGTGCGGAAACATTTGATTTTATGTTTCGCTTTGAATATCCTAGTGTGAATGTGAATCGTCAATTCAATTTTTCAAGGCATATAAATGAAAAAGTTGATACATTTTTGAAAAGAATCAGTACCAATGTTAGTAAAGTTATAATTAGAAAGAAAAAGAAATTTGCTGAAGAAGTCGATGAAATTATAAAAAAAGATATTTATTTATATAAAAACAATATTCAAATCAATGGTGATACTTTGTGTGAAACAATTTTAAAAGATGTAAATGATCTAAAATTAGTAATATTTGATGTTACATTTATGATAAAGAAAAATATGCCGATTGTCAATTGTATAACGTTACCATCATCTTTACTATGTGGCTTTCCAATATATCCTACCAAATTTGAATCGTTATATACTGATAAAAAATTATCTAATTTTAATTGGTACAAAAGTGATATAAATAATCCTAAACAAGTTTGGTTACACGTTGGTGATGAGTATTTGTATACACCAAATGTATCCGATATTGGTTTTAGATTAAAATTAAGTTGTATTCCACAAAATGAGACACATAGTGGACCTTCCGTTGAAGTGGAATCTAAGAATATTATAGAAGCAGGTCCAGGACATTGTCCATTTGATACTCGTCATATGTTCACAAAATCTAAATTAACAGGCAACAGGTAATTAATTGAAGAATAAAACAAATAATTATGTCAAAGTATCTATTGATATTCTTATAAATTTATAGAATGAATTGTATCTGAATTTGTATAAATTTAGTTTTAGAGTTACATCATATAATATATTGGCTAATGTATATGCCAGTACCACTTATAGTAAAGAAAATTTATTTCCATATTGTCCAGAATATGCTTTAGACATAGATTATCGAAAACAACTTATACTTAAAGAATTACTAGGTACGTTTATGTTAAATATATAGTATTAATAATAATAATAATAATAATAATAATAATAATAATAAACAAAAGAAAACAAAATAAAAAATAAAAAATAAAATTTTTTTTCTGTCTCTCTAGGATTTAACTCAGATATAATTTGCCTCCAAGAAGTAGATAATAAGATTTATGATAATGATTTTATGCCAACTTTATCTTTACTACAGTATAAAAGTATATTCAATACAAAGAATGAATCATCAGAGGGTCTTGCAATATTTTTTAACGAAGAAAGATTTGAAGAACTATGTTATGATTCTACTGTTATAGGGCATAATATTGAATTACCTAAATTCGCACTTATTTGGTCAAAAATAAAGAATGAAAAAGCAAAAAAACGTTTCTCACAGAAAAATACAACTGTACAGGTGAAATATTATTACATTATTTTTTTGTAACTCTTTTTACTACTTATTAAGATAAATATAAATCTTATATAAAAAATAATTGTCTAACAGGTACTTGCATTGCGAGCAAGAGAAAGACCATCAGATATTTTAGTTATTGCTAATACACATTTATATTTTCATCCTGATGCAGATCATATACGTTTGTTACAAGCATATTATATTTTACTGTATATAGAAAATTTTACAGAAAAAATAAAGCAAGAGGTATGTGAACGTTTTTTGTTATGAATATATGATATATATATATATATATATACATATAGTACGTAGTATTAGATTTTAACATAATCATAAAATTAATTTCTTGCATTATTACATATTATGAATAAATAAATTATAGTTACAAATATATATTTTAGCACCCTCAAAGCAATGTTAGCATTTTGTTATGTGGTGACTTTAACAGTGTACCTGAATGTGGTATTTATCAATTAATGACTGAAAACTATATACCTGAAAATTATAAGGATTGGAGTAGTAGTAAGGACTTTTTTATTTTTTTTATTTGAATTACTCTTATCTTATTCATTGAAAATTTTATTTATATATAATTCTTTCAGATTTGGAAGAAACTGTGAAGGATATATCTTTAACTTATAATATTCCTTTTGCAAGTGCATGTGGAACACCGATATATACAAATTACACACCAGAATTTTCAGGCTGTTTAGATTATATATTTTATCAAAAAAATAAATTTGAAGTAGAGCAAGTAATTCCAATGCCTAGCAATGAAGAACTTACTATACATATTGGTTTACCTTCTATAGTACTTCCAAGTGATCATATATCACTATGTGCTGATTTAAAATGGATTACATAATAAATGATAAAATGAATGATTTATATAATAAATATGATTTTATTTGTATATAAATAAAAATAAAATTAAAAAGAAAAAAAAAAAAAAAAAAAAAAAACTTTTTCAAACATTAGTTCATCTTAAATCAATAAAATGAAAGAACTGCACCGTATATAGAATGAATGTATATTTTTGTGATGTGCGTAAAAAATGCCAGATTATAAGACAGAAACATAGAAATGTTCTACCACTATAATATATGTATATATATACATATACATATAGATATGTAGAACATAATATGTTATGATCTTGAACTCTATTCTGTAGATTAACAGAGATTGTTTTATATATTATTTTATTATTATTTGTTATTTTATTATTAATATGTTCTATATAATTTGTTATATATAAAAATAACGTATTATATATAACGGTGTTTTTATACATATTAAAAGATTGTATTAATAAAATTAAAACAAACGGGGGAAAAAAAAGATAAATTTACTTAGCATTAATATATAAGCTCAGAGTTAATATAATTTTGAGATTAAAAAGTTGGCACCTAAGTTTGATTGCTATTTCTTTATACCTATTACATTGCAGAATTCTATAAATATACTTTAATAAGAAATAATGTTATCAACAAACGAAAAATCATTCTATATAATATATAAAAAAAAAAAAAAATTACATATATAATATGCTTTATATATCGGTAGAGCAAAGTCTTAAATAAAAATATTCTATATATATATATATATGTATATTATGTGTGTGTTTGTGTGTGTGTGTGTGTGTGAGACCACGAACAATGAGTATAATATATAATAGTTTTTCAAATCTACGAAGCACCTAGTTCAACTTTATTTTTTTTTCTTTTTTTTCTTTTTTTTTTTTTTTTTTTTTTACTTCTATTTTTCTTTCTGTAAATTTATAAATACGTTAATATAACAAAAGATCTCTTTTAATAAATATTATTTTATATGAGATGTGTTCGTGGTTATACCATTACACTCTTATAAATATTCTTATTCTATAGTCTTGAAAGTTTTTGCTGGATGCTATCACATGCGAAAATGTTGTATGCGTTAGATCACATTAAAGTACTGCAGCTATAATAACAGAATCGTCTGTCGAATCACCATCATCTTGATCTATTTTTTCTGTTTCTGTAGGATTAATTGTCAAATGGTTTTCATGGTTTATAGGAGATTTTTGAGCCTTATCTTCGACTTGAGAAGGGCATTCAAAGTGCACACAATGAAATACCTATATATATATATGGATATATATATATACATACATACACATAACTTAGATAATGAAATTTTTATTAAGATAATTGATATTTGATAAATAATATGTTTAACAACCTCGTTCTCCGTATTATAGGTTCCAACTATACGTATAAAAACAACGGGTCTGGCTGGATGAAAATGAAGTACTTGCCAAGAACGACAAAGTTCTTTAGTCTTATCAACTACCAGATCCCAAGTTAAATAATTACTAGATACTTCTATGTAATAAGAATATGAGCGTTTATCGCAATCCCAAAGTAATAATCTGTAAGAGTAATTTAAGATAATTTACATAAGCTTATAAAAATAATTAAATAAATAAGATACATATATATATATATATATTTTACCTCATAGAATCTATGATATAAGGTTGTCCTAATTGTATTAATATAGAACCTGAACCCAATTGATGACAGGTATATCCACTATCCCAATCATAATCTGATGTATCACCATTTAGTAAAGCATTACGTATTCTATATATAAATATATAAATAAAAAATATAATTAGAAGATAATTGAAAATAAATTTCTAAATGCAGATACGTGTCAAAAAAAAAAAAACAAACATACCTACTCACTCCTTCTGTAACAGTGGCACCAAACTTCATAATAGCAACATTTCTCGTTGGAATGATAAATCCTTCAGATAATTTTTCTGAATGATTTCTATAATACGCTTCAAAGCTTACAACATGGAATACCTGTAATATATAATTTCTAATTGTTATATGATGTATTTCTACCATAAATTTATAATGTCATTAACATATTATATATACAATTTTCTTACTTTATTCACGGTATTATTTGTACCAACAATACGAATATAAACCATAACTCTTGGTTCAAAATATAAATATTGCCAACTACGACAAAAGTATTTCGTATAATCGATAATTCTCACCCAATGTTTTTGATCCACGGATACCTTTCATAAAATTAAAAATTAAAAAAGGAAAAAAAAAAAAAAAAAAAAAGAAAAAGAATATATTAGTATAAGCGAATAATTTATATTATTACTACAACATATTGAATTAATTTCTATAATATTTGATTAAAGATTCTCACCTCAATGTAATAAGAATATGAACGTAAATCTCTATCCCATAATAACATCTTTATATGATTTATTATGCATTGTGTACCTAACTTAATTAGTATACCATGTTCCTGTGTATCCGTTATTGCATGTCTTGTATATCTATAAAATTATTTTTACATTATTATAAAGTTCATTTTGATAAAGTTTCAAAATATTTGAATATATATTTTTAAAGATTAATAAATTATATTTACCCACGTTCCATATCATAATTATAAGAATTACCATCCAAAAGATAACTACGCATTTCACCTTGTAGAACTTCAGCGCCATAAACTGCAATGGCAATATTTTGATCTACCAACATTTGGCCTCGATAAGCAAGTTCTGAAGATTTGTCCATTATTGCTGTTATTGCATCTAAAATAGCTTCGGAAGATACCAATCTAGTTGGCCTCACAACATTTAAAAGATCGGTCAAAGAAATAAGACTTAATCTTACTTGTGCTAAAATATTATAGTTCAATATTATTAAACCTTTTGTTCTTTCTCTTTTCTTTTTTTCTTTTTTTCTTTTTGCTTTTTTCTTTTTTTCTTGTGAGAAAGTAAAAAGACATTCAGAAATTATACAACATTTCTACAGACCTAAAATTTCCTTTGCATCCACGTTGGGATTTGCTTTGATCCATTCTTGTACGGCTAAGAAAATATCAATTTCTGGTGCATAGAATGAGTCACGTGAAATAAGTTCATTTAAAGCTATAGGACTTAATTGTAAAAAACTGTCTTGATGTATAATTTCGGCAGCATGTTTATTAACATATTGATAACACCACTTTTTCAAGTCCAAGCATGAAAAAAAAAATTTGTTTAAAAATTAAAAAATAAAAAAAAACAAAGAAATATATATATCAGTTATAACTTTTGTCATGCAAACTAATATCCTATTAATAATTGTAACATAATCAATAATAATAAATAAATACAAACCTTTTTCAAAAATTCCATTTGATAAAGACGTGCGGCATCAAATATAACACAAAAATTTTTTATACTAAGGATTTTTTTAAGATAATCAGATATTGCATTTTCAAGTTCTACAAATCCATATTGATGTGCCAAACCAAGAATGTCGACGATTACCTTAATAGATAATATTTCTTATTGTTTTTCTCTAGATATTTATAAAAAGATTATATGTATATTGTAATACCTCCTCACGTTGATTTGCAAGAGATATATGTCCAGTATATATGTATTTAAATAATCCTTTAAAAGCTGGTACAGATGCACCTTTTAATTCAATTTCCTGCTGAGTTGATTCCTTTAAACCACCAAATAAAAGAGCTCTGAAATATTGACTTCGCGCTGCTAGAATAATTTTATGACCATTAAATCTTTGATCTGCAACTATTAATGTTATATCCGTGTAACTATTTGAGAGATAAAGAGCACCAATATCCTCAGAAAGAAAATTCGTATGTTCGACATCTCCAAAAGATGTTAAACGATGACGAGAGCTCATTTTTATATATTTTGATTTAGATAATGTTCGAGTAAGTAACTACAATAAGTAAACGTACTTTAATTTCTAAATGATTCCATTTAATTTACGTTAATCTCATCGTTATTGTTTAACTATTCTAATACTAACAATAATTGAAATAAAATTTATATTATTTTTCACTGTTTTGCCACCTTAGTAATAATTTATATTTTAATCGATAATAAATCACTGATTTGTTACTCTTTACCAAAAAGACAACGCGACTAATGGTTTCACAATTTGTTATTTCGAAAATATTTCCATTAGTAAAATTGCAGGATTAGAAAATGAAAACTTTTTGCGTGTTTTCCATTGAATAGTTACATGCAGTGTGATTTAACGAATCGCACGTCCACATCTCAGATCAAGAAGAATAGACCAATCATATCAATTCTATGAAATAATATATTCAAAATTATTGCGCATGAAAAAAAACAAACCGTCTTATTTTTTTAATACTTATTTCGTATGCTAAATGCATATAGTATACTAAAAATGTATATTAAACAAAAAAAAAACAAAAAAATCAAATTAAAATGTCACAATGTGAAAAGTTAAATTTAAAAGTTAAGTTGGTAGTCCTTGTAGAAGCCAACCAATTATCAGCTGTGAATTAAGATTTCGACCAATAGCTGAACTCACAATGCAGCGTCAAAAAAGTATAATAAATAAAATAAAACCTTTAATGAAATATATGAAATAATTTTAATAAGAAATAATATAGTACGAATTATAATAATTAAATATGAACAATACATTCTGTAGAATTTTATAAATACTGAATTATCACAAAAATATATATAGAAATAGTAGATTCCTGTGTTAACGCAATTGGTAAAAATCATTTTAGTTTATCTATTATCGATTTAGATTCAATCGATAATAATGTACATATTTATTTTGCAATTGTCTTACAAATAATTTTCTATTTCTGTAAAAATTTTTTCGTCTAATATAAGAAAATTATCCACCATTAATTCTAAATTGTCTAAAATTACGAATCAAAGATTACAGAAAACAGAATACAAAATACAAATCACAAATTACAAATCATCGTAATAGTAATGTTATTGTACAGCGTTTCCCAACCTATGAATCGTATTAAATTTTTAATAGAGTGCCAAATGATAGCTATTATTTTATATCAAAGAAAGGAAAGTGATTAATTTTGTGTAAAAGTGTAAGAGAATTGTGAAAAGTGTAAGAGATTTTCAGAAAAAAAATTTTCATATTTTTCATCGAATGTTGTTGAGAATGTTGCGAGTATATTGTAGAAAAAATCTTTTAAATAATAATCGAATTTCACTAAATAAAGAATAAATAAAGTTTAAACAATTCAATAATTTTATAATTAAGAACGATAAAGGATTGTTAGTAGATCAACATTTCTTTTTTATTATCGAGTTTGATTTCTAGCATATGTGTGTGTGTGTAAATACATCATTTATGAGAAACAAACAAAAGAATTTGTGACATTGAAAAAATTAATATAAATCAATAATGTTCGAATTAAAAGATCAAAATTATTTTTTCTCCCGCCATATTTTAAACTATTATTTCGTTATTTCAATTTTTACAAATCGATCGATCGTTTATGTTAATATCGGATGTGCATCGCAGTCAAGATATAAATAAATTAGTTATTATTCAATACTTAAAAATAATAATATCCTTTTTATATCAAAATATTTTCAAGGAGGATATTTAACATATAGAAATTCTTATTAATTATTTTATTCGATTTATTAATTATATATTTCATTTTGATTAGGCCGTAGAAAATAGAAAGAAACTATGTATATTTGACAGGTGATGACGTATTCGTGACGTATTTTAGTTAATTATGTAATTAGAATATAATTATCTTTTCACGATATTGATTATTTATCGTTTGTATAGTCTTAGATTTCATGTTGTATGTTTTTTTTTCTGATAATAGGTAACGATATTAATATGTTTATTGTACGCGATACACATAAGCAGAAAGAGAGAGAGAGAGTGAGAGAGAGAAAGAGGAAGAGAGAGAGAGAGAGTGAGAGAGAAAGAAAGCAAGAGAGAGAGAGGGAGTGAGAGATAGAGTGAGAGTGAGAGAGAGAGTGTGAGAGTGAGAGAAAGTGAGTGAGTGGGGGAAGAATCTAATGCGCATGCGCGGCGAGAATCGTCTATCTTCTCGAACGGTGGGCATGACGCCATATTTGTTCCATTGATACCGGCATCAAGCAGAATACGTATCGCTGTCATTAATTACAGGTAATTAGCATAATTTTTCTAACATACATTCTTGGCTAATGTACTAATCGTTTTAATAAGATGCATTTTCTAACGTGTGTTATTTGCGAAGCGGAATTTAGCCGTGTTTAAGAGATATTCGTGAATATAAAATTGGCGTTTCGTTTTTCTTTCGGCGACTACTGCGTCATAAATTTTCTCGAAATTTCTACATTTATTTTCACAATATCTGTACTTCTTTCTTACTTTTTAACGATGCTCTGATTAATAATTGTGCATTAATTAACAATGTTGAATGAATTTTATATTTTATTCGATTTTTACAAGTGCATGTGCAACACGTACATTCACACACATATATATATATATACATGCTATTTAGACTCATACATACATACATACAATTTATTTTATACTCTACTATTAACATTTGATACTTTTCAGATTTTCAAGAATTCCACTAATTGAAAAAGTGCAGTTAATTGAAAAAGTCCAGTTAATTGAAGAAGTGCCACTAATTGAAAAATTCAACGAAAATAATTTGTTAGAGTTCTATGTCATACATGTAAGTCTATCTGTTTTTAGGCATATAAAGCAAGATTTAATATTATGAAATAATAGGATTTAGAACATTTGAATATAGAATAATTATAAGGCGTGATCTCGTTAGTTATGTTTTATACCCAGAATTGTTATTAGTTAGTGCTAAGTGTAAAAATTTCTACTCATTGATTTTGATAGGCAATGAGAATTTTATTATCCAATAAATAAACACTGCGACTTTCCTCATTCAATCTTGAACTTTCTTATATTTGTCTATGCTGAAAGAAGTTTTCTGTTCTCAAAGAAGTTTGAGCTATGCTAAAAATAAAATGACAGGACTATGTGTTCTTTAATGTAAATAAATATATAATTATTAAATATATCTCTTACATACATGAACAATGTAGGTTCTTCGTTTCATCGTTGGAATCTTATGGAGGAACTATAACAACATTACTTTAGAAAACATAACCTTAAGTCTATAGAATTAATACATTAATTTGATTATAACAAGATTTAATATTATTATATGCGTCTTCAAGTATTTTAATCCTTTGATGTATAATTAAATTTTGATGTATTTTTATGCGAATATATGGATAAGATTACTATGACAAGTCAAACATTTTAAGCTAATAGGTTAATTAATATATGGTATTAGGATTATCAACATAAATCATGATTATATATTCTGTTGTTATATGTTATAGTTTACATTGTGCATTTGCTTATATTACAATGTTTATCCTTTCATAGATGCACATACAAATACTATTACATATAATGCACTTATAATAAACATATTCTAAATGGTAATAAATAGAAATAGATTAGATTTATTGCTGACATGCTACATATATATATATATATATATATATATATATATATATATATATATATATGTATTCTTGTCTAGTTTTCAGAGAGTTTACGTAGGGAATAGATTAAATTTAGAAAGAAGAACTCAATGATTTTATAATTAACAATAAGAATGATTATTTAAGAACTTTATTACTCTATAATTATATAATTTTCCAAAATATAATTTTAAACATTTCACAAAAATTTGAGATATCTTTGTAATAAATATTTTTTTTTTCTTTTTTTCTTTTTTCATGTCTATATCAGATATAAATACGTATAGACAGAGAGATAATATAAGATTCATTGAGAGAGTACAATCATTATGAGAAGTTAATAATAGCAGAGTTACAATATATATGAAACAAATATAAATAAACAAATTGTTCTTTTAATTAATAATTTTTATTTAACATAAAAATTGAGACATATATAATTGTACAGCATAATTATATATCAACGTTAGAAAATAATCATTATTATTGTCCATAACATATTTAATACTCATATATATTATATGATATTGTTTATTTATTATAAACATAAAATTATATTACATGTTTTTATGATTGTATAGTTGAGAAGTAATGTTTGACGTTTATATTTGAAAAACAATATACGTAATCATCCTTTTGTATTACTAAAAAAGAAACAATAGGGCGCATCATTTTGGTTGTGAAAAACACAAACAATAGTGATGGTCAAATACCTCAGTATTGCACCCTGCGGCGATGAACTTTAATCGTCCGTGTCGGTATGTATTTCTATACATAGTCATTATTATGCTTTCAGTAGAGAGTAAGACACAGCAACTGGAGGCAAAAGATGGAGGAGTTGGAAAGGATGAAGAGAAGGCACCACGTGTATATCTTTTGGTAAGTTGAATAGATCGAACATATAAGATTTACAAATTGATATTTTCTTCGTGATCTTTTCAATATTATTCGTTAATAATAATTATAATAATATATATATTGTAATATTTAATATTTTATAATAAATTATCTTTGATATAATTAATGATTCTTGTATATAAGAACGACTGTAATAAGCTTACTGATAAGTAAAAATAGTTCTATATTTATGTATTATTAATTATATCCATGATACTGATGTAATATTATATATTAAATATATTAATAATATATTACTATATAATAATGTATTATATTTATACATGATATATGTATACATGTACATTAATAATGTAATATCTAGGATGAATCAACGAATAGAATTTTATAGAAATAACAAATAAAGTAAGAATATTTCCAGATAATAATCATAATCATTCGAATGTTAACGATTATTATTATATAGGATATATAACAAATACGTATCATTATTGATTGGATTATTATTTATTGATCCGATACTTTTCGAAGAGGATTGCTAAGTTGAAGTATTTTGCAGAATTAGTCTCTCTCTCTCTCTCTCTCTCTCTCTCTCTCTCTCTCTCTCTCTCTCTCTCTCTCTCTCTCTCTCTCTCTCCCCCCCCCCCCCCACCTCCTTTCTATGAGTTTCAACGCAATCGTGGGTATTATTCTACCTGGCACTTCGGGATATTTAAATTGGAATTACTTTTCTCATTATAAGCCATCCAAGGGGAAAATCTCTCTCTCTCTTTCTCTCTCTAGCCTTCTTTCTTTCCATACTTCTTCTTCTTCTTCTTTTTCTTCTTTTTCTTTTTATTCTTCTTCCTTTTCCTCCAATTCTTCTTCTTTTTCTTCTTCAGTGCCAGCTTACCTTTACTATTTTCATCGCGAAAAAGTTTATCTGTGACAGGTGACAACAAGGAAAGTCGGGGATCTTCCTTGGTACATTAAGAGATGCCTGCCCGCTCTTCAGCAATTATTCTACCTTCTAACATTTTTTATTACGACGAAGAGGAGATGCGTCCATAAGGGATTACCGTACTATCGTTTTACTCCTGGCGATATTTTAACCGCAAAATGTAATAATCTTCTTCTTCCAACGATCTCTCGCCCTCTCTCTTTCTCTCTCTCTCTCTCTCTCTCTCTCTCTCTTCATCCCCTCTCCCCTCTACCCCCCCCCCGCCCGATATAGGTATAAATTAGTTATTTTTATTTTCTTCTTAATAATAAGTTTCTTTTTTCTTTTGAATTTTTTTCTTTTTTTTTTTTTTTCCTTTTCTTTTTCAACCCCGTCCTTACAAATAATGTTTTTATTAATATAATAACTTGCCAGAGGTAGCCTATATTCCTGTAGGATATAAGGATCAAATTTAAAGCAGATTCGATTCTCTATAGGATATAGCGATCATCTCGAATACATATATATATATATATATATATATATATATGTATGTATGTATATATAGTTATATTGTATAAGGATTAGGAGATTTCTTTCTATACTTTTGTATTTTTTCTTCTTCTTCTTCTTTTTCCTCCTCTTCTTCTACTTCTTCTTCTACTTCTTCTTCTTCTTCTTATCGTTAGCTTCTTCTTCAATGACGTGTAGAGGCTGATGGTAAAAATGCATTACACGTTATTTTGGCAGGTTGATCCTATTATACAAGTACAAACGCTTCATATAGTGGTTAGTGGTAAAGCGTGTTACCTAGTCCGTTGGATAATATTAATGATCCTTTATAAGCACCATGATAATGAATCATAGTTACCCCGAGGGTAGTGTGTCTCTGTCAAGTAACAGCGCTCTTATGGACGGAGTTTCCAATTTGAAAGCTATATTCTATAGCTGTTTTTGCAAAAGTTTTTAGTAGAAATTTCCTTCGTAAAGTACACGATCAATCGATATTTCAAATATCGACTATACGTCATGTCGTATTAATAATTTCTTTCTTTCTTTTTCGCTTCCCCCCAACCACCACCCATCCCCACCATCACATCTTTGGTTTCTTATTCGTTTTTTTTTTTTTTTGTTTTTTTCCCTTACATAATTTTTTTTTGACAAGTGGTTATTATTTCTAAATTATTCTCACATTTCTATTCTTTTTTTTTTTTGTATTTTTATATATATACATATATATATATTATTTTTTTTCTTTGTATATACAAACGATCTTTCCTTAACCCTACGCCGTATGAATTTTTATATTTTGTCGAAAAAAAAAAAAGAGAGAAAGAAAAAGAAAAAGTTTCCTCAAGGGAAATTATCTTCTAAGATCAGGAAAAAAGGGATAATGAAAAAGAAAAAAAAAAAAAACGACAAATCAGAAACAGAAGATACGATGAGATTTCCATACGTATGTATATATTTATCGTCGTATTTTAAAATTGATTTACGAAGTAAATATGAACGACGTGGGTATATATATTTGATAGAGTATTATTTATCGATAGAAAAAAACTGATGATTATTGTTAAAATTAAATATAACTGCGACGTTTTTCTTTTTTTTTCTTCTCTTTTAAGAATGAAATTAATATAATACATTGATAGGAAAAGTCAAAAAAAAGAGGAAAAAAGAAAAAGAGAAGAAGTCGCGAATTTAAAAAACATCTCTCTCGCATAACAAAAGAATTATGTATCACCAATGATATATAATTAGAATTAATATATAATTACGTAGGGATAACTATAAAATGCATAGGATATTAACGAGAGATCAACAAATTTGACCGATTAGACGAGTTATAATAGCAGATAGAAAGCAATTCCCTTTCTGGCAGATTTCTTTACGTATAGAGATATCTATGCATGTATATATGTACGTATGTACGTATGTATGTACGTATGTATGTATATACATGCACATTAGCGACGTTTTAAACTCACGTCCTCCGCGCGTTTTCTACGCGGACGCGGAAGCGGACGCGAACGCGAGTGAGCTCGATCCTTTGAATGCATCTGTCGCCGGCAGTTTCCCTATTTTTAATTGAATTTTTTTCATTCGCAGGAGAAAGTAATTTATCCTTGTGTTATCTTCGAGCAGAATCGGGGATATCGATTTAAAAAGAAAGTTGAAGCAGAGTCAAGAGTGTCTACTCCAGATGACTAGTCGCCCGGTCCGATAGGTGTATCCACGAACACGATAAAGTTAATTACTCCGAATCATTGCCGAATATATCTCTCGTTACACTTTTTTTTTCTTTTTTTTCTTTTTTTCTTTCTTTCTTTTTTTCCTTTTTCTTCTTCTTCTCTTACATTTCGAGAAAGGAAGTATGATGATTCTTTTTTTTTTTTTTTATATGAAAATGAATGAGATAAGCTTATCGATGGGCTAAAGTATTTTTATTATTTTATATTATTAATTATATTCATTAAATGAGTAAAATATTATTTAATGTCTCATCGACGAAGCCATGAAACTGATTAGACTTACATACGTCTTAATCAGGAAAATGAATAACGTATGTAGATAAATGTGCTTCAAAAAAAAAGAAAAAAAAAAGTATATACAATTGAAAAATTTATATAATAATAATAATAATTTTCTTTTTTTTTCTTCTCTCTTTTTTTTTTCTTTTTTTTTTTTTTAATCTCGTAATTAATATTCTTGGAATTTTTGAATTGTTATCATTCGTTCCCATTATTATCATCGATATAGCCATTAATATAATTGTTCGTATTACTATCAAAATCTGATAACATGTGATAAAACGGAAGCTCTTTTCCTTTCTTTTTCTTTTTCTTTTTCTTTTTTTTTTTTTCTTTTTTAAATTTATATCTCTTTGATGTCACGTTAAAAGATATCATGTTGAAAATTTGGATAAACAATGAGACAAAGAGAGATTAGTTTTATTTTGATTTATAACAACGGAAATATAAGATACCATTGAAATCTTAATATCAACTGAATGTGAGCTTGAATATGCATCCGCGTAGTCTATTACACGTGATATTTGCATTTTCATGTCATTCGTAAAGAATAACAATATTTAATTTTAACGCTTTATTAAGAGTCATCCTTCGATAAGGTATTAAATAAATAAAAAAAAAAATATAATAATAATAATAATAATAATAATAATATAGGACATATGACTTTATACATTTGAATCTTAAATTTTCTCGAAGTAGGAAAACAAAGGTTTCTTTAAAATCACTTTGGACTGCATTGAATACATTGAAGAAGAAAAAGAAGAAGAAGAAGAAGAAGAAAAGAAAAAACAAAAAGAAATATCAGAGAAAAACGAAAAGAGGATCCGTAATCGATAGGGAATTTCTTATGTCTCTCCCGAACAACATGCATTAGCCTTCTTCAAGATTAGAAAGGGAAGAGAGAGAGAGAGAGAGAGAGAGAGAGAGAGAGAGAGAGAGAGAGAGAGAGAGAGAGAGAGAGAGAGAGAGAGAGAGAGAGAAAGAAAGAGAGATAGATTGAGAAACATAGATGAAGCTATAGAGATGGAAGAACAAAGAAGACCTTCCGAATCTTCCGAACAGATAGAATTTAAGAGAAAGGACAGCAAGGATTAGCATTTATTTAGGTACGGCGACTACTTCTTCTTCTTTTTCTTTTTCTTTCATCGGACGACGACGACGACGACGACGACGACGACGACGACAAGTCCGAAAACATTTGGTTAAACTTTAAATCTCCTTTCGAATAATACTTTGTTCCGGTTGTACTCGACGTCTCATCTCATTAAAGCGCAATGTCTCTGAGAATTTCTTCCACACTTTTTCGTCGGCTTCGACAAACCTGAGAGAGAGAGAGAGAGAGAGAGAGAGAGAAAGAGAGAGAGAGAGAGAGAGAAAGAGAGAGAGAGAGAGAGAGAGAGAGAGAGAGAGAGAGAGAGAGAGAGAGAGAGAGAGAGAGAGAGAGAGAAAGTAGTAGGATACGCACATTCGGCACGTAGAAAACTGAGAGAAGAAAGAACAGTCATATTCATTTCGCGTCTAATTTACTGCGTAGCGATCCTCGTTTTGAACGTGATAGCAACAGTATCCATGATATATCGTAGAATGAACTTTTTATCATGCTTTCATCTATATCTCTCTTCCTCTATTTTCTCTCTCTCTCTCTCTCTCTCTCTCTCTCTCTCTCTCTTGTTTTTCTTTTTTTTCTTTCTTTTCGTTTTTTTTAATCAAAAATCAGACACAAAAATTCTAATTCCTACCGAATTGAAATATATATATATATATATATATATATATATATATATATATATATATATATATATCATGTCGTCACTGTATTAAAATGAAATATTTCTATTTTTAAGTTCTTTTTCTTTTTTCTTTTTTATTCTTTTTGTTTTTATTTTTTTATTTTTTTATTTTTTTATTTTTTTTTTGTTAAACAACGCGAGCTAAAGGTTTCTTCGATGGATCAAAAGCTCCCCTAGGCATTGCAGTTTTATGATCTGAAAAGGGAGAGGAAAAAAAAGGAAATAAATAAATTAGCCTTGAATAGGAGTAATTAATTTTTGAAATCGCCTAGGAACTTTTAAATCACCCTATATAATCTTAAGCATCACCTTCATGGATATTCTTCTTCTTCTTTTCCAATCATCATCATCATCATCACCATCATCATCGTTCATCATCATCGTTCATCATCATCATCGTCATCGTCATCGTCATCATCATCATCATCATCGTCATCATCATCATCATCATCATCATCATCATCATCATCATCATCATCATCATCGTTATTATCATCGTCAGTTACGAAGACGTGGGTGTAGACGAAAATGTAGCGTTCGTTATTTTTCCCATGTGCCTTACACGTGTATAAGACGATACCACCCTTAAGATGCTCGAATTATCTCGTCAAAGAAATTGCGTTTGAACGATCGTCTCGAGAAATATCATGGGAAAAGGGGAGATACTATATCCCTTTTTTCTTTTCCTTTTTCCTGTTCTTTTTTCTTTTTTTTTCTTTTTGTTTTTATTCCTTTTTTCTTTCTTTTTTCCTTTTTTCCTTTTTTTTTTTTTTTTTTCTTTTTTCTTTTTTCTTTTTTCTTTTTTTCCCTTATTGCTTTCGTGAATTCACAGCGAATGCCAAGGGATTCTTGCTTCTAGTCTTGCGAAATTTAGATTTATTGAACCTAAGACGACACTCTTGCCAGTCTGTTAACAGAGGCTGCCTCTTGACGACATGACAGTAGGCTTTGTTGTTAAGGACAACAATGTGTCTACGTGGAGTAGTTTCAGACATAAAAATACCCTACATATTCGAAATTATACTCTTTCTTTTTCTCTTTCTCTCTCTCTCTCTCTCTCTCTCTCTCTCTCTCTCTCTCTCTCTCCATTTATCTATCTCTCTTTTTTTTTTTTTTTACTTTTTTCTTTACTTTTCTTTTTTCTTTTTTTTCGTTTTCTTTGGAAAATGCAACAGAAGAAAAGAGTTTTATTTTTTGTCACTTGTGTTCTTCAATTTCTTTTTGTTCCTTACGATGGGAATATTTTAAATATAAAACAAATTTTCGAGATCAGTGATAAGTCTGATAAAGTTCAGAATATCTTTTGGCAAAGAAAGAATGAAGGAGGGACAGAGAAAGAGAAAGAGAGAAAGATAGATAGATAGCTAGAGAGAGAGAGAGAGAGAGAGAGAGAGAGAGAGAGAGAGAGAGAGAGAGAGAGAGAGAAAGAGAGAGAGAGAAGTTTTGTCACTGAGATTGAATACGGGATTACAGGTCGATATAGAATAAGAAGTTGGAATAATTGCCCGGGTTTGGATTAAGAAACGAACGAGAACGAACGAAAGGGATGAAGGGACAGACAGCTTTTTCTCTTTCTCTTTCTCTTTCTCTGTCTCTCTCTCTCTCTCTCTCTCTCTCTTTCTTTCTCTCTTTTTCTCTCTGGCTGACTGCTTGTCTGCTTCGTCCACTCGTCACTTCGAATTCAAACTTCGACTTTGAAAATTCGAGATTCTGCGTTAGAGACGTACTAAGAGATTTGGGAAGAAAAAAATACCTCTATCCAGAGAAAACTAGAACCAGTGTCCATAACGACTGACAGTTCTGGTTAAAGAAAGAAGGGAATACGTAAGTGTTTGTACATACAGGGTGTTCTATTTATCTTGTGTCAAAATATACATATTGGCTTGTTCAGAATGTTCCTGTCTATTTGTGATAGGTAATGTAATGACAGAATTGGTACGAACTTTTTGGACAACCTAATATACACACACACACACACACACACACACATATATATATATATATATATATCACATAAACATAAATAATTTCCTTGTTATAAGTTACAGTATTTCTTTTTTTTTTTTCTTTTTTTTTTACAATCGTATTGTACGCTTAAATCGATGAAGATGTATTTGCGAATGTTTAGATCGTCTCTTTTTCTCCCGACATTGTGTAATTTGGAAATTAATTAATTTCTTTCTTTTTTTTTTTTTTTTTTTTTTTTTTTTTATACTTTCAAAATTATCCTCAAACACGTTTTGAGATTTTCAAAGTGTCACGAATGAAACTTCGAAGGAATTTGAAATATTGATCTGTATTTGTTGAATATAAGTCAAAATAATCCTTGGAAAGAATATTCTCACATTTTAACATCATGTTAATAGAACACCCTATATACGAAGATATATATATATATATATATATCTAGGTGAGGGGCCGATCGTGTATTCGTTACAGGAGGAATACTTGCAGATTGAAGACGGCCACGTTGTAGTATATCCTTATGTAGGCCTACCGAGTGCAGTTTCGACAACTCCGTCGAAATTTACGAGCGGAAAGCTGATGGGGTTTCCGTGCTTACCCGAACCCACCTCCTAATACCTTTACAAGGTTTTCTTGAATCTCTCTCTTTCTCTTTTACTCCCTTTTGCTCGCCTTTCTCTTTCTATATCTTTACCTCTCTCTTTCTATATCTTTACCTCTCTCTTTCTTTCTCTCTCTCTCTCTCTCTCTCTCTCTCTCTCTCTCTCTCTCTCTCTCTCTCTCTCTCTCTCTTTCCTTTTTACCCTATCATCCCATTTCCTTGCTCCCTCTCTTTCTTTTATAGTCTAGCTGACTCAGTCTTAATGCGTCTTTCTTTTCCACTCTAATTCTCTATCTCTTTTTTTTCTTCTTTACTATTCTTCACTCTTACACACTATCCTTGCTATGCTTCACCTTTCCATATCCTCTCAATCTTTGCGTTGTATTTCTCTCTCTCTCTCTCTCTCTCTCTCTCTCTCTTTCTTTCTTTCTTTTTCTCTCTTTTTTTTTCTTTTCTTTCTTTTTGTTCGGCCCTTGGTAGATACCAAAGAAACAAATCGATAACATAGACCATACGTATTACTGTTTACACGTTGGCCGGACCGATTTATGACGTGATCTGAGATTTTAGAAGCCATCCAACGTTTCGATACACCTCTTTCAGCTCACTCTATATTGTACTGATCTTTTTTACTCTTTTCTAATTCCCGCGCTTTTGAACACCGCAGAAACGCCACTATGAATGGCGTGACTCACGATCGATAAAAGAGTCCCAGTCTCTCTATCTCTCTCTCTCCCTCTCTCTCTCTCTCTCTCTCTCTCTCTCTCTCTCTCTCTCATGTGAAATGTATTTTTTAAAGCTTGTATATATACATATATGTAGGTACATCATATAGGTATTTATTCGTATGTGTCACGTATTAATACGTTTCAACGTATCGAAAATTGCGTTTTGAATTATTTTCGATGGGACACCTGTTGTGTTCTTTTCCGCTAACTGTCCGATCCTCTTTTTTTTTCTTTTTTTTTTTTTGTATCGAACGGGGATAACTTATTCCGTTTCATTCGTTATAGGTGTGTTGTGAGTGAAGTCAACAAGCGACAAGGCTTGTTACATAAATATTCGATGAGAGAAATATTACTGTTATATGTAATGGTCTTCGATGATGCCGGATAAAAAATTGAAGGTATTATTGATCTCCTTATTTTAAATTGTTTGAAATATTAAATGAATGAAACGTTCAATATATGTATATATATATATATATATATATATATATATATATATTTATATATATAAACGGATTGTTTATATAAAATATATTACTATTATATTTTCCTTTTAGGGAAGAGATCGGAGAAGGGAATATTTAGCGTTTCAGAATCCTTCGAGAAAAAGAGTAAAGGATATATATTTGTGATGTTCCAAAGAGAATCCGCAATGGTAGCGGGAAAAGTAACGGGGAAAGGATCGGGTCTTTCCTCTTGAGTGGAGCAGAAGCGCGAGATAAAGGGTAACGTTTCTCCTAATTTTTTGAAGGCCCAAAACTCAGTGGGAAGAAGAAAGGTTTAAAGATAATGGTACCGGATCGCCATAGTTCTGGAATGACATAGCACGCGTACTGAGGTTTTTTACTAAAAAAAGAGAAAAAGAGATAGGAAGAACTAGAAAGAAAGAAAGAAAGAAAGAAAGAAAGAAAGTAGGAAGAAAAGAGAAAGAGAGAGAGAGAGAGAGAGAGAGAGAGAAAGAGAAAGATGTCGTATAAGAAATCATAAGATAGTTTCGGTGGTGTGTTTGGTTGGTTTTAGTTGGTCTCTCGTAGCCAGGGCGAAGAAAGATCGAATTCTATTCGAAAGTTACTGCTAGCTATTGCCAGCTAGTATTTGGCTGTTAGCTGCCGCCT